CCGACCGCGTCCCCGCTACTCGGTCAGGCTGCCGCTGCGACACTGCTCTACACGGCCGAACCCATTTGGTGGCTCAGAAACCCGGCGCCAATCTCGACAGGGTCGCACTGCATGGACCGCGGCAGGCCTGTCCTGTCTTCCCCATCTTCGTCCTATCGCTCGTTACGGGTGCACCTATGGAGACAACTTCGATGCAAGTCCCATATGCAGCTGCCTACGGCCGTACCAAACTGCGTATATGCGCGCCGGCAACTACCAACCATGCTTGCCGCTTCTTGCTGGATCGTACCATGGTCTATCGTCACGGGAGCACAATATCACATACGACACAGACCCTGAGGTGCCAGTCGTGGTGGACCAGATAACCTGGCCTGGACCGCCTCCCCCCCCCNGCCCCCCCCCCCCCCCCCCCCCCCCCCCCATGCCAATCGTCTCTGTCCTCGCTTATTGCGGAACTAGCTTCCGCCGCGGAAAGCTGTGTCGAGTCTTGAGCCTCATGAGCATATGTGCGGGACATGCAGTGTGTGATCCTTTGACAGGGCTTCCGTGGGGTGAGTTGCTGGCAAGGCAGACTGCTCTGGCCAAATGGAGCAATCGTTTCGACGTCCGGCCTCGCCAAAAACCGTCCAGCGTCAAATCGTCGCAACCTCATTGCGCCATCCCCAGCCGCCTGGCACATCCTCGCCAAATTGCTTCATACCCGAGGCTTCGCAGATCTCAATGACGATGCCTCTCACAGCCCTCACCTCGTCCGCCGTCGCCCCGTTGTTGAGAGCGCCTCGCAAATGGCCCTTGAGTTGCGGGTTGACCTGTCGCTGTCAGGATGGTCCTAAACCCAGCGGCATATGACTTACATCCTGGGGGATGAGCCCGGCAATGAGCACGTATGACGTCTCTACGGGCGACAGTACGTTATTGTTGCTCAAAATATACCCATACATTAGCCGTGCCGTCAGGCCCAAGTCCTCCGTACCAGACCTGTCCAACTGGCTCATAATCCGTCTAGAAATCTTCCCGTAAGTGTTGTTCCAGAATTGATGCCCACGCTCGATGATCTTCGACGCGGGTGTAACGTGGACATCTTGATGCCGCGAGGTGGGCGATACGGCGTTGGAGTCACCGTCGCATGGCTCATCTAGAAGGTGCTCCGGCGTCACCTTCTTCAATTCCATGAGCGAGTTTATTGCCTGACCAGCGTCAGCGAGTACTCCCCTCCAACCTCTTTCTCAGGGATACCTTGGGTAGACCTCCAACAGCAGATGCTTTTACGAGGGCCTCTCTCAACTTTCTCGACATCATGAGCTGTTCGTCTGCTCCGGGTGTATCATCACCAGGCCCGACACCGTGTCTCATGATATGCTTGTAGACTTTGGGGATCTCGTCGGGACGATTGAGAACCATCAGGGTCGTTGCTGCGATAAAGTACCAGGAGTGCCTGGGGATATGCGGCCGGCATCTCATAGAAGCCATCAGCGCTGGGGTAACAACAGGAGCTAATCCGGATGTCATGATGGTGGTCATGATACACATTGAATGCAAGCCATGAACTCAGGACCATCTTCAGCCGTCAATCACGCTCATGAGTCGGAAGCCCGGAAAAAACGGAAGACCCGATTCTATGACCCGGGGTGCCTCACCTCAGTGCCGGGATCGGGGACGGTGATGTCGGGGTTCGGCAGACGACTGGCCGACGTCCGCGGTTGATTGCATGGGTCCGGTTGGGTGCATTTCCTAGGCCTTCCATCGGAATCGGTCTAAGCTTGTTCCGAGTCTGCTGCCGAACCATCACGTGCTCAGACTAGCACCTGCCGGGGGTGTCCTGCGTCACTGCTCAGGTAATCCACAGCAGTTGAGTGGATGCTTGTCACTAACGTGGCATCTACTACGAGCTCCGACGCACCACGCCAACAGCGCAAACGGGACTCTCTCTGGCTTGCATCAACACCATGGGCACTTGAGGGCCTCCCTCATTTCAACATACAAATCCCGTGCTTTCAGCCCATCCAACGCGAAGATGAGGCTCGCGTGGTACGCAGGGGTAAGTCCCTCGTGCCGCTGGAGAGCTATCCAGCTTCGTTGCATAGCTCCAGCCTCCAACTCCGCCTCTCGGACGACCAACGTGCTGACCCTCAACAGGTATCCACGGCCCTGGCGGCCACGGTCGTCGTCTCGGCCTTCCACCAACGAGCGAACTTTTACTCGGCTATGGTTTACCTCGCGCAGAGTAACTTTTGCTTGCTGGTTCGTCATCCCGTGCAATCGCGAAGAAGCTCCGCTGACGTGTCCAGGTCCTGGTCAACTTCATCTACCTTATTTACGGCACCATGATTTACGGCCTGCAGCGACTACTGTACGGCCCGCTGCGACAAGTCGAGGTTGAGCAGCTTTCAGAGAGGGCGTGGTTCGCGATCACGGAAACATGCCTGGCGATGACAATCTTCCGCGAGGAGATTGGAGCATGGTTCCTCGTCATGTTCACCGCATTGGTGACAGGCAAGGTCTGGGGCTGGATTGGCGACGGACGTGTCGAGGTCCTCGAGCAGCAACCGCCCACGAACCCCGGCCTCTTCCACACCCGACTCAGCATCTCGCTTCTCCTGAGCTTAGTCTACGACATATGGCTGCTCCGATACACCGTCAACACGGTTATCCAGCAAGCGCGACCCAACATGATGGTCATGTTCCTCTTCGAATTCGCCGTCTTGGCGACGTGCTCGGCACGAACCGGAATCCGCTACATGGTATCGGTGATGGAACAGAATATCATCAAGACGCAGACTAGACAGCGTCTGGAGGAGCGCCGAAGACAGGTCCGCGAGGAGCGCGAGGAGCTGCTTCGCCAGCGAGAGCATGACAACGGCGCAGGCGACGACGCGGATCTCCCCCGCGAGGAGGATGTTGACGAGATGGACATTGAGGTTCCGGGATGGGAGGCCAAAGGCCAGTGGATTCTGATACTGGATCTATTTGCTGGTAAGCCGGACGACTCCAGCTCCGCCGACGTTACGCTAACCCTCTAGACTGCGTCAAACTCGCCATTTACCTGGTGTTTTTTGGAATCCTCCTAACCTTCTACGGCCTTCCGATCCACATCATGCGTGACCTCTTCATGACCGCTCGCTCCGTCATCAAGAGGGGCTCTGCTCTGTGGCGCTACCGCAAGGCCGTGGAAGATATGAACAAGTATCCCGATGCCACGCAGGAAGAGCTGTCGCGGGAAGACACGTGCATCATCTGCCGCGAGGAGATGCGCCCCTGGGACCCCAGCGCTGGAGCGGTCGAACGGGTCCGCCCCAAGAAGCTCCCGTGCGGACACATTCTTCATTTTGGGTGTCTCAAGAGCTGGCTGGAGCGCCAGCAAGTCTGCCCTACCTGCAGGAGCCCGGTTGTCGTCAACAACAATGCTGCTGCACCACAAAATCGCGAGGCGGTTCTCGCCAGAATCGGGCTGGGCGGACTCGGAGCTGCGCCTGCGGCCCCCGCTGGTCAGCAACCACCTGCGGACAATGCGCCAGCCGCCCCGGGCGGACAGCCTGTGCAGCAAGCCCCGAGAAACGGTGCCGCCCGGGTGTTCCAGCTCGGCCCACTCCGCCTCGGGTTCGCTCAGGGGGAGAACATGCAACAGCTGGCCCAGCAGATGGGAGTCCCGCCAGAAGCTATCCCAACGCCCCTCGGCCAGGGAGCCCCAGCCGGCCCCTTCACCCCAGCCGCGCAGACGCCGGGAGCCAACAACATGTCGGCGATACGCGGGCAGATTCAGCACCTCGAGCAAATGATCCAACGTGAGGTTCAGTCTCTCCAGCACATGCACCAAGAGCTGCAGACACTCCAGCTTCTCACGGCGGAGTTGGGCCGCATCCGCCAGCTCCAGCAGCAGCAGGAACAGGCGCAAAATATGCTGCCCAACACTGGCGCGGCTCCCGTCGTCAACCTCGGAGCGACTCAGCTGCCGCTCCCGACGATGCCAATGACGCAGGTCCCGATCCACCCAACACTACGGGTGAACGGGCCAGTCGTGACGAGACACGGGGCTCCCAACCACTCCAACGCGATACCCGCTGGCAGCGCTGAGCTCCCGGAGGGCGTCGTCATCCCTCCCGGCTGGTCTCTTCTGCCTCTCCAGCGACTCGACGGTACGGCCGTATCATATGCCCCTCAGCCGTTCCCCGAGTCGGCACCCTCTGCATCAGGCGAGACGAGCACTTCGGAAGCCCCTGCATCCACACAACAATCAACTACCACAGCGCAAGCTCCGGAGACGAGCAGCCCGGCTGCACAGACTGCCGCCACCATCCCCGAGCCTCGGCAAGAAAGTGTGCCCGGCTCCAGCGCGTCTACGGGCCGGACAGAGTCGCCCCCGGTCCTCGCTCCGAACCCTGTGGTCCCGAACTGGGGTGGCGCCAACCAACTATTTGGCAACGGCCGCGGGCTGTCGGGCCTGGGCAATCCGACGCCATCCGAGTCTTCGGCCGACGAAAGGCGAGATGAGCCCGCCACCAGGAGCTCGCAGACGGCCGCGGCAAGAGAGGAGAGTGCGGAGGACGAGCACAAGGGCAAGGGCAAAGCTGTCACGGTCGAGGAGGCCGAGGACGACGAGTAAACGATGCGGGACAGTAGGCATAGTCAGCGGCGTTCGGGCGGATCTGGCCTTGGTGTAAAAATCATACCACTTTTGTAGGAATACTAGCGCATGTTTTATGCAAAACAACAAGAATGACCAATTGTTGACCCGAAGATGTGTCAGGTACGTGGTCCATTAGACATCATGACTACTACGCGCGCCGCTGTGGTTGGACATGATGGAACATGTACCCCTCGCTACTCCTGCGCCCTGTCCCCCAGTCGTTCCAACATTTACTCGTCGCTAAACATGCCAGTTGCTATAGTACAGCACAGCCAGCAGCTCCTCGCCTGTGCACCACCGCTCAACGCTTCACGCAAGATCAATGCTGCTCGATTAGATATTAGACGGGATAGCTCACGGTTCATCACCCACCAGCTCAAGTGTCGAGCACGTCGCGCTCCTCTTCCGTGGGCAGTGCGGGCGTCTCCCTCAACGGCACGTCTTCGCCCTTCTCCCAGGCGGCGCCCGGGCCCTGATAAGACGGTTCCGGAATGGCTGACGACGACGACACGGTGCCGGGGGTCCGGGCTGCTGTCGAGTGATCCATCTCACCACCAATATTGCGCACAATGCTCGAGGCAACGCCGCCTTTCACCGGCTGCGGGCTGAGCACCACCCCTCCAGATGACTGCGCAACATAAGTAGGTGAAAAAATACCCTCAGAGCCGAACGGCAAGGGGCGTGTTGGGATCTCGCGACTCACACCCTCAGGACCTCCTTCACCACCAAGCTTCTTCAGCAAAGCCTCAGACTGCTGCTTAGCCAGTTTCTGTAGCTGAACTGCTGGGTCCTTTTGTATCCGCGGCACGTTAGTCACATCACAAAGACAGTCTGCGGGAGTCCACCGGATTCCATGTACACATACCCAGTCAGACTGCGGCGGCACGCCATGGGCGGCCGGCAGCTCCTCCTCCTCGTCGCCTTCGCTGGCACCAGGGCCGCCACCGCCCCAGAACTTTGGCCGGCGAATCGGCGCGGGAGTGACTGGAAGACTTGGTCGGTCGACTACGCTGGGGAAGTCGGTGAGCTTGAGCCCATGCTCCTTTGCCACCTTCGCAACAGGTGTGCCGCCCACCGACCCTTGGCTCCTCCCACGACGATGCTTCTGAAGACCCTCGACGTAGCGCTCGATCTCGGGCACTTCGTCCCAGGCATTGGTACGCGTGAAGGCGGTCCAAGGATCCGACGTGGCAACTCTGATGGTCGGGGTGGCTGGGGTGCTGGGCTCGCTCTTTTGGCCAGTCGTCGATGATCCTATAAGAGACGGCTCAGCAAGAGCCTGGAATGCGGATGACGCCGTTTTCTCACCAGTTGGTGTGCTCGAGGGCTCCTCGGCCGTTGGCGATGCCATTTCCCCGGTAAAGATGCGGGTCGGTTTGGGCTGGTTCACCTCCCAGGGGAAGATGGCTCGCGGCTTCTGCGTCGGCGGCGCAGGCTTCTCCTTGGGGACCTCGTACCACATGTTGCGCGGCGGGCTCGGGTATCGTTCGGGGGGCACAAACGGAGCGGTATCCTGAGACATTTCATACACCTGCGACGGAAAGTTGAGAGCCTCCGGCCTCGAATCTGCGGGGGGCGGTTGTCTAGGCCGCTTAGTCCAAGGTCTGGCACAGGTGGGCAGTGAGGAACATACCTCTGAGCATCCCATGCTGGCACGGGGGGATGGCTTGGCTCTCGCGGCTGCTCCGCAGGTGGCGGTGATGGACCTCGCTCCACGGGCGCTGGAACCTGCTCTGGTAAAGTCTCAGCTTGCGGTCTGGGAAAACCCTGAAAAGACTCGCTGGAAGGGAGTAACGAGGGGCCAGCCTGATACGCAATCTCAGGCCGAGGTCCTTGACCGGGGTCACGGGGCAGCGATCCATGATACTGGTGCGGATGGGACGGGCCATGGTCACGGGCATCCTGTGGGGGAAGGCAGCGCGACGCGACAATGCTCACCCGTTGGTGCTACATGAGCAACTTGCGGCTGGAATTCTCCCTTGGTGAAGTACTGTACGATTTCCGGGACGTTGTCATGCTGTGGCGGGGCCGCAGCTTTCGTCTCCTGAATTTGACCTCCGTCAGCATCTGATATGGACAAGTGGTTTGTGGGACACACCGTGGCTCTGTAGTGGCGATCGTAGACGGCCCACCACCTGCCGACCATGTCCTCGAAAGGCGAGTCGGTCTGGCTCGGTTGGCGGCCCTTGAACCAGGGCTTGTCGGGACCAATGAAGTGGACCATGTTGATGCTCGACTGGAAATGCCGGTAGGCAGGGACGTATTGGTAGTGCGCCGAAGGAGTGACGTTGTAGGTGAAGCTGATGCGGTTGTACGTGTTCTTGAAGTGCATGTTCAACAAACCCTGGTCGGCGCCGTCGAACGAGATCCCTCGCTCGGCCATGGCCATGAGCGCATAGTAGTCGCCCATGTTGGGGCTGAGCACCATGACACCCGTGTTGAAGAGGTCCGGCCAACCAATGTCGGGTGCCGCAGAAAAGGGCGCGGCGATGTCGAACAGCTCGTCTGGAGCCCGGTACGCAACGACATCGGCGTCAATGTAGACAATCTTGGAGAATTGGGTCTGTCTCCACAGGTTGACTTTGGTAAAGGCGGAGTGCAGATCGGGGCGGTTCATGAGGTAGAGGTTGGCGGGTCGGTCGTTTCGTATTCTCGGCACAGGAATTACGTGGTCGTAGACGGCCTGAAAGCCAGCTTGTGTTTAGCACGAAGCTCGGAGAAGCTCAGAGGGTGGCGGGAGTGGAGATATTCGCACGGAAGCTCAGCTCACCTTGAGTTCGGTGATGACCTCAGCGGAGACGGTATCGAGCGTGACCAAGACGGCGAGCTGTCTCGAGGTGTCGGCATCGCGCAAAGAATGAGCAAGAACTAGTGCGCCTAGCACCAAAAGTGTGAGCAACGACACAGGAAGCGGATTGAGCGGGCTGGGCCTACCTGGAAGGTATGTATCGTTCAACAGGAGCTATGGAAGGCTGGCAATTAGCTGTTTGTTTACTTTTTGGGGGGTTTTGGCAACGACGGTTGGGCCCCACGAACCGTTGCATAGACCTGATCGCCTCCGCGAAGGGCCGCCATTGTGAAGACGAGGCGTTCCGAGATAGACACGAAGCTAAACGGACCAAAAAAACAACAACATAAAAATAAAGATAAAAATGAGCGAGACAAAGACAGGTGCGGGTGTCAGCGAAAGGCCATGGACAATATAACACAAGTGCTCCGTCAGAATTGGTGGTGTAGCACGGCAAAAGTTGAAGTTGGGCGACTGATGGGAGGTGTGTGGCGGGGATAGGCGCCGTGCGCTCTGGGCCCGGGTCAAGGTCCAGGTCCAGGTCGAGTCCACTTGCGGTGCGGAGAGAAGAGGAGGCGTGGAGTGTTCGTAGGTGGGAGCAGAGCTCCGAGGTGGGCACACGACGCGAGGAGGCCGGGGGTACCTTGCTGTCTGTGCTCGTGTTCAGTTGGTGATGCCCCAGTGATCCTTGGAGGCTGCACGAGGAGAGGAAGGGAGGGGAAAGAGGAGACGAAGAAGAAGCAGGCGACCCAGAGATTATGAGTAGGGGCGAGGAAGTTGTTGACGTCCGTTGCAAGCGAGCATGCGTGCAGGCGGGACGGGAACTGGTCGGTTGATGTGTCTATGGCCCGTAATTATATACCGTTAGCGAAGAGTACGTGTTAGTCGCGATACGATGCTATGGTTTTTTTTCCCCCTCACCCGCGAGAAGCTTCAGATATCATCGCACAGCAAAAATGAGTGTGTAGCGTGAGGAAAGAACGTACCTCGGGTGGACGTCGCAGAGAAGAGACTGCCAATGGCAAGGAGTCTCGGGCAGGTCTACTTCTTGGTCGACGAATAATGCTCGTGATACAAGAAAAAAACCAAACATGGATTGCCAGCAAGGAAAGCGATGATGCGCGACAAGGGGCGCTGGCGAAAGACCCCAGAGCACTGCAGGGCCGGATAGGACAGAGAGGTCGAGGTGGGCCGGGTCGTGGCAAACAGCAGTGCAGCACTAGCAAGGCCGTTGCAGCATGGCAGGAGATTGCGGCGGGATGAGGTGGTTGGTGGTGGTGGTGGCAGTTATGGATGGATACTGTCGAGACTGTCGAGCAAGTCAGCGGCGGAGATGGTGATGATGGGGATTTCAGACCGCCTCTTCCTCGATGATACCCAGATGCATGGGAGGAGAGAAGAGTGCACCNATGGTGATTTCAGACCGCCTCTTCCTCGATGATACCCAGATGCATGGGAGGAGAGAAGAGGGCACCGAAGACCTCAAAGCTGAGACGATGTTTCGCCTCTGCTCTCTGCTCTCTGCTCTCTGCTCTCTGCTCTCTGATCCAGTGGGTGGCCAACTTCCATCAAACACTCTGCCGCTCTCTCTCTCTCTCTGGCTGGACCACCAGAATGACGCTCGAGTGAGAAGTTCCCACCTTTTTCCCTCGCTCGGGCGCCAATGGCACGCCTGCCTACTCAACTACCCTGGGTATCCAAGAGAAAGATTGCGTGGTGTAGTTAGTGTAAGGTATCCGTACATACATACCTCAAGCGCTGTGCCGTGGCCACTTCACTTCTTCTTCTTCAGCGATGCCTTGTGCAGGCTCGAGGAGCACCTCCTTTATCCTCCGATGCCTCTGAAAACCCTTCAACACGACGCGCGACATTTGTGCTACCTTTTCATTCCCGAACCTGCGGCATTGAGAGACAGAAATATCTCTGCCCATTCTTCCACCGTTCGGGGCTGATTCTCGGCCGTCGAGGCACCTGTGCCTGTTCCACAATCCGTCACCTCCCGGGATTCCGCGTCGACGCCTGGCAGGGCTCCATGCCCGCCGCAGATGTGGAGGGTGCAAGACACCTCATCTAGTGCGGTTTTCTGGGTCCAGGACGGGGTGTCATTGCTCCAAGAAAGTGGTTCGTGGACAATAGGTGACGGGCTCTATGGCAAAGCTCATAAGGAGGCATTCCATGCTGATTGAGGCACGTGAGGAGACGAGGAGGAGAAGCGGCCGCTATCGTGTAGGTATCCCTCCCTGGCGAGCTAAGCAGAGCCAAGATGCAGCGAGCTAGGTGCTTCGCGTGCAATGGGAAAAATTCAACGGAATTAGACTGGATTACAAGAGCCACAACAGCGTCCTATCTTTGCATGGGCCGTCTGAGATGGACCCAGGTTCGCAGACTGGACGACGACGACGATGACAACAACAACAACAACAACAACAACAACAACAACAACAACAACAACAACAACAACAACAACAAGCTAACCTAACCAATGCGCATTGCCATCCACCTGCAGTCAGTGCAATGTCGTAACGGCGAAGCCAAAGCATCCCCACCGGCTACTCTGCTCTGCACTGGCTCTGCCAATGCTCTGCTCGTCTTATTGCCGGCCCATCCCCCACCGTCACTTCCATCGTTGCGTCTTAAAGTGCACAGCTCCATGCCCAGGTTATCCGTACTTGAGACGAGGTGGCAGACCGTCTTCCCCAAAGCTTCCCCGCACCCGCCACATCCTCCCGCCAGGTCTTGCCTGCCACTGACGTGAAGCACAGGACGGGACGCTGGACGCTGGACGCTGGAGCTCCCGCAGAGTTCAAACCCAGCATCCATGCGGCTAGTTATGCCCGCTGCAAGTGGGCTAGCCTGCCTGCCTCTGCCTCTTCGCGTCTCCCTTTATAGGAGAGACCGCTCTCGGCGGCCACCTCGAGCAAGACATCAGTGAGCCAGGACTCGTCCCGTCTTCGTGTCTCGAGCTCGTCTGCCTTTGCCTTGCCTGCGGACGGGCTGAAGGCGCCGAGGTGCTGACGGTACCGTGCCTCACCTCCTTCAGAAAACACAGACGCTGGAATGAAGACCGTGCCGGCCCGGATGCTGGATTAAATCCACACTCCCCTCGTCCTTTTTCCCATCCGTTCCAGGTTTCGACCGCCGGCCCATCAACCCAGAACCGACTTGCTATTGCATCGTCATTCATCCCTTCTGTGCTGCCCATCTCACAGCCCCAGGCCGAGGGTCCATCAACTTCTGCCGCTTTGCCCCCAAAAGGAGAAGAGGCCCCCATCCATCCGTCCATCATCAACTCTTGATTGACAATCCAGAATTGGCCATTCAGAGCTGTCCAGAGGCAGAGGCAGAGGCAGAGAGGCCCAGAGGGAGCCATGTCTTCCGATCACTCGTTCGAGCTGCAGCCCCAGCTAGTGAGTACTGATCTTCACCGTCCTGCTCCATCCATCTACCTTACCCGCCGTGGTCCCCCCTTTGCAGTCGCACCCTCATTTGCTCCATTGCCATGCAACTCTCCTTCGTACCACTGCTGCACGGCCGGGCATGTACCCTCCATCCACGTTAGCCTTCGTCGAGTCCCCACGATATCCTCAGCAGTGAGGTTGCTGGTCACGAGTGTGGATCGTCCGGGGAAACCGACCTCACAACCGCCCCTGCCTACGTCACACATATGCCAAGCACACCACAGCGACACCGCGCAGCATTTCCAACCTCGCCTCGACTTGGTTCGAGAGGCCGCCCTGTGAGATATTCAACTTTACCTTGCCGGAGAGCGGAATACGTGTCCGAGTACCTGTGCCACCGATCTGCACCCAGGGTCTATCCGGTACGGCATACATATCGACATGTCGGACTAGGCCTTCCAGCAACCCCCGTCCTTTCTCATCTGCACATTACCGCACCGCCTTCAATTTCTCGCATGCCTTGTTTGTGCGGCTTCTGCTTGCTTCCCGTTTGAAAAGAAAAGAAAAAAAGGTCTAGTCGAGCGGGACTAACTGTGTTCCCCCTTCGTGTCTGTAGCAGCTACAGCCCGCCGCCGCCTTGGAGCCAAGCCCGCGGCGCCTAACCCTTCTCGACCTCCCTTACGAGCTTCGCCTAGACATCTACGAGCTCCTCCTCCTCTCCCCAGAGCCCGTCATAGTGTCCAGCAGTCGACGTCAGCTCCGCGTAAAAGTCGAGCCGCCGGAGCACCAAAACGCCTACCTGCGTGCCCCTCGGCCCACAGCACGCACCGTGCCGCTTACTCACAGGCGGCCTCACGTCGAGGTGCTGCAGACGTGCCGTCAAATCAACCGCGAGGCTACCCCCGTCCTCTATCGCCAGAATGACTTCGTCGTGGGTTTAAAACTCTGCGCCAGGGGCGAGAATATGGTCGACCCACTGGATCTGGCCACCTTCTTCCCGTCACTCCTCCGGAGGTCGACGATTCTTCAACTTGCGTCCATCACCTTCCGTGGCGCCTGCCTCTGCCACCACTGGCTCACTCTCGCTGCTGGAGAAGGCAGGGCATCCACCGGAGCGGAGCTGGCCCGCGTCTGCAGCAGCCAGGCCGGGGGAAACGATGCGTTGCCGGATACCGCAGACGCTCGGGAGGCGTACCTGATGCTCAGCAATGGCCTGTGGGATCTTGAGAAAGGTCTGGCTTATGAACCATACGCTCATGGTCGTCACGATGCTAACCAGACGCAGATTCTGGGAGAATCAAGGTGTGCGCCTTCTGCAACGCTAGCTATGGCCAGCACTGCTTTATCTGGGGCTCAGGCTCCTTGGCCTGGCGTCCATAAACGGTTCTCTGCATGGGAGAATCGAACGAATGATGATAAACAGGTGCAGACGATATATGGGTTTCAATATAAACTGTAAAAGCGACATGGAATAATCATAATCATCTATTGATATTAAGCATCTGGCTCATCCAATCTCAGGCCCCCTCGTTTCAGCAGACGCTGTTAGACAGTCTTCAAGCTGAACGATGCTACAGATCCTTCTTTAGTCCGCGGTCCTGCTTGTGAGTCATCTCGTAATCAATGTGTACATAGGCTCGCTCGACGTCTGGCAAGCTTTCAAGCTTGACCTGCAGTGCTTCGGCAACGCCGTGTACATCGGCCAAAGTGTTCTTTCGGTCCATGACTATGTCGACCTCTGCAATCAAGCGCGGCCCGGAATGATAAACGCACACCGTTTTAGTGCCCTGTATCGACTCAGAGTGAGTCAGGCAGACGTACATGATTAGTTGCTGCGTCTCGACCGAGGCTGTGACGCCCACGAGCAACAAGAACTCCGCGATGGCGGTGCGCGACCATAGGATAATCACTATCACGGACAATATCACGGCATTGGCTGGATCAATCCACCATTTAAGCAGTGATCCGCCGACAGCGGTGAGAATTCCGAAGCCGTTGACCAGAAGAGCGTTACGATGGTCAGACCACAATATCCGGACCTGGGAATATCGGTTTCGCAGGGGAAAGCAGTAGATGAACAGAACCAGCTTGGTGCCGAAGGCTACACAGACAGAAATTACGGCCTCGGACTTGACATTCGTAACATGTCTATCCGGCGTAGTATCGCCAAGTTCGCGGGCGGCAAAGGCGATGATAACCATCGAGAGACTAGGAGAGGCCGGCGGATCGTCAGCCTCTCAGGGACAGAATTATCTAATCCTTTCTGTTGCCACCCACCTCGTCATCAAGTTGCAGAATATAATGTTCCCAACTGTCTCTAGGCGAGACTTGCCCGCTGGGAAGCGCCGGGGGTTGACCTTCTGGGTGGTGCGGGCGGACAGGGTCAAGACCAAGTAGCTCAGCGGGTCGAAGATGGCATCGGCCGTCGTGGTTATCAGAGACAACGATTCTGTCTTGATGGCAGCATGCAGCTGAAGGGCTGCTAGGACAATGCTGGTACCAAAAGAGCCCCATACGGCTATCTTAAACCGGAGATGGCTGTCGCCGGCTTCCTGGCGTGCGTCGGCAACATGGTCGTCGACGGACTTGAGCATGCGCCCGATCGCCGCATTCTGGGTTTTGTAATATTTCTGAACCTGTCTGCTCCGGCGCCACGGGCCAATCTTGGTATGCCGTGGTTCTCTCCTTTGGGATATGTCGGCTTTGATTTGAGCAAGCTCCTCCGGGGTCTTGAAGGCGCAGGATAGACCGAAGGGGTCGGGCTCGATGCCTCCCCCGGGCACACGAGGCTGCTATTTGACGTCAATGACATCCGAGGTGTGCTTTAGTCCTAACCCGTTCGTCTTGTTCTTGGCTTGGATGGCGTTCCCCAAAGCTGTACTAGTTGCATTGGCCGGGACCTCTTCGCTGCTGATATTTGAAGAACCACTCCGAGATGAGTTTCGAGACGTATTGGCGAGATGCGAAGGTGTGTTGAAGTGGAAAGGATACGGGTGCATAGTGATACTTTTGGACAGGTCGGGCTCCATGGCGGCGGTAGCGTGAGGGTTACAAGATGAAGAACGAAGGAGCTGTTCCTGCAAAGTCTTCAGAACCTCGGGGAAGTGTGACGAGCCTGGCTGACCGTAGGGGTTGACGCGGTTGAGGATAGAGGAGAGGTGGAAACCGGCCGTACGCTGCTGGCCACCTAAAGCTTGCATCCAGATCTGACTAGTCAGAATAAACATGCATGTGGCAAGCTAACCAAACAACCTGTGGGAAGCTTCTACGAAGCCAAGGTACCTTGGGTCGACGCAGATGCTTCGTGGGTGCTGTGGGAAAGAGCCAACTGTTCCTTCCGCTCTGTCGCCTCTTAGCTCACCACACGAGCCTCGGCAGGGGCTGCCGTCGCGATACCACAGCACGCTCAGCCAAGTATCTACGCATCGATGCAGTCCTTGATGGGAGGAATTCTGTTACGCGACTGTATGACTTACAGCAGCATAGTGGCAACGTCGCAAAAGTGCCGAGTCTCTACGATTATCATGGCAGTGACAGAGTAAGGGCAGACGTCAGCACATGCGAGGGCCGTCAGTCTGCACCGCTAGACGCAATATATGAAGGAACATGGGTCTGCAAGATACCGTAGCCGTGTAAAGGTAGACTGAGGAGAAAATTAAAATCAAAAGGTGGCAAATCCGACTATCATGCAAGGCTACATTTACGAGCACACGAGCGGCCAGATGACCGTCGCAAACCAAAGTTTCCTACAACTTGGATTCGGGCCTCGCCGAGTCACCCGCGCGCTCCAGAATCCAGTCTCCGACGTCTTTGAAGAACTCTTCCTTGCAAAGATCGGCATGCAGCTGATGGTACGCACCCTCGTACGGTTTGTGTGTGCAATCTTCGATGCTCTGCGCGCCGTACCATTTCTTACTGGCATTGAAGCACGTCGTCTTGTCCTCGGTGCCGTGGCCTAGCCAGAGGCTCTTGACGTTGGGGCTCAGACTGAGCTTGCCGTGGGCCAGCGCGTCCGTCCGCTCCAGCATGCCCGCCAGACCCTCAAGCGTACCGGTGTTGTGCATGAGGTCGTCATCTTTGATGCTCTGCTGCACCGCCTTGTCCCGCGTCAGGTTTTCAGCGGGAATCTCATTAACGAGCTGCTTCGTCGGGAGCAGGCGGCTGGCAAGCTTGCCGAAAAAGACCTTCAGGAAGCTAGGCTCCTCGCCGGGGGTGAAGGCGATGAAGGGGCTCTCAAGCAGCCAACCGCGGACCTGGCCGACAAGCTCATGATACTGTGGGTCGCTGGCGAGGGCGAGGACCTGGCCGCCGCCCATGGAGTGGCCCAGAACAAACACGGGCGCATACGGCGATGGCAGCTTGTCGCGGATGAAGGCGGCAACATCGGAGAGGACGCGAGATGTTGGCCCTGTAAGGCCTCTCTCGGCTGGCTTGGTCACGCTACGGCCCCATCCACGCTGGTCCCAGGCGAAAACCTGGATGCCACGGCCTGCAAGGTAAGAGAAGAGCTCCGGATAGCGTCCGATGTGATCGCTGAAGCCGTGAACAAAGATGAGCTTAGCCTTGATGGGGCCTTGGGGCTGATGGACCTTAGTTACTAGGTCAATGTTGTGTGAAGGCGACGTTGAACTCACTGTGTAGGTCTTGGTGTGGAGCTTCTGACCTTCAACCTCGAAAGTGCCTTCAGTTTCGCTCGCCATGATGTAATCTGTTTGAAAGAAGTATGTGGGATGGGCTTCGATGCACGAGTGATGGATATTGCGGGTAGTGAGCCACGACGTCGTGTTGTATTTGTTGTGAAAGCCCTCTGGTTTGTGATGGAAAGCAATCGGTTACTCTCTCCCTTGTCGGGGTACTTTCACGTGCCATGGGGACGCAAGACAATGCCATCCCCAAGT